AAAAAAAAAAAAAAAAGGCAAGAAAAGAAAAAAGAAATTGAGAGGGTTAAATGGGTAAAGCACAGGAGATATTTTAGGGGGTGCAACTGTTCTGTATGATACTGTAAGGGTGGATACATGACACTATGCATTTGTCAAAATTCATAGGACTGACTACACAAAGAACGAATCCCAATGTATGCAAATTTAAAAAATCATTTAGGAGATTGGGGGATCTCAGGACGGAATGCAGAATGCGACAAAACAATCTACCTATATTACAAATATATGCAACAATCTCACTGAAGGGGATAGGAGAAAAGGCTGCTGACCTAAGTAACTAGAAAAGTAGAGTCTGTTAAAACCAAATGCAAAAGGAGTCCACGTAAGCACCGTATTCTAGCTGATAAAGTTGTTTCCTAAAGGGTTTGAGTTAAAAATTTTGATATTGTTGTACATGTATACTACAACTGAACAATTAAGGGAACGGATGGTGGAAACCACAGGTTTGTCTCTGTTGGAGTAGGAGTTTAAAGACTGGCAAAGAAAGGAGGTGAGACGACCCACGTGGTCATGGATTAGAATCGAGGACATCAAATGTGCTGATGTTTAGCTTGATATAGATGCTGTTGGTTACATATGTATATATTTGTAGATATGTATATATACACAAATTAGAATACACACATATATTTTCTTGCTGTCACATGAGAGATCTTAGAAACAACGACATTTCAGTAGCAACAAGTACACCTGGCATCCCTTATCTTGGTTTCTTTTTTTTTTTCTCTCTCTTTTTTTTGAAGTAGGGTTTTGCTCTGTCACCCAGGCTGAAAAGCAATGGCATGATCTTGGCTCACTGCAACCTCCACCTCATGGGTTCAAGTGATTCTCCTGTCTCAGCCTCCTGAGTAGCAGGGATTGCAGACACACGTCACCATGCCTGGCTAATTTTTGTATTTTTAGTAGAGACGAGGTTTTACCATGTTCGCCAGGCTGGTCTCAAACTCCTGACCTCAGGTGATCCACCTGCCTTCGCCTCCTAAAGTGCTGGGATCACAGGCGTGAGCCACCACGCCTGATGATACCTTGGTTTCTAATACCATTCTCTAATGAAAGCTGCCAGGGATCCTTGGAGAAATAATGGCAGGCTCTGAACCTGGGGCAGGGAACATACAAGATGAGCCTAGAGTATTTTGCAGTGCTAGAGAGTAAAGCAGTATTAAATATACACACACACACACACACACACACACACACACACACACACACAATCACAGAAGTATGTGGAACACAGGAACCAATCAAAACAGCTCCCAGTAGCCAAAGCTGGAATAATATGGGCCATAAAATAAAGTAATATTGAATTATAACACAAAGCACACAATAAATATCCATGATCCCTACTGACATAAAGCATTGACTAAATAAACAAATGAGGAAAAAGAGACAAAATCTCCCATGCAAAATAATTCCATGTAAATTATGTAGCTACATGAGGAGGTGGAATATAACTTCCCATTCCTTAAGAATGAGCTACATATAGTGATTTTCTTCCAAAGAACGCAGTGTGGAGAGGGAGGGAGTAGCTATGCAGTGGAGAAACCGGACAGACACTATCTCAGCCAGGTGGTCAAGGTGAATATCAATAGCAATAAGCCTTGTTAACGGGATGTACCTCGACAGAATGTGATAAAAGTGTTTCTTTACCTTTTGGGTCTTCCTCCTTCAAACCCATAAACCCAGTCTAATCCTGAGAAAAGCATCAGACAAATGCCATTTGAGGGACATTCTACAAGATACCCAAAAACGTACTCCACAAAACCTTCAAGGTCATCAGAAACAAAGGAGGTCTGAGAAACTGGCACAGCCAAGAGAGTCTAAGGAGACATGCCAGGTAAATGCAATGTGGTGTCCCAGGTGGGACCCTGGAACACAAAACAGACTCTAAGCAAAAACTAAGGAATCTGAATAAAATATGGACTTTAGAGAATAATAATGTATCAATATTGGTTCATTCATTGTGACAAATGTATAAGTCTCACATATGTTGCTAACAGGTAAAACCTGTTGCAGACTATATGGGAACTCTATTCTGTCTTCACAATTTTTCTGTAAATCTAAAACCACCTAAAACATAAAACTTATTTGTTTAAAAAAAAAACAAAGCATGCTTGGCAGAGGTAGACGAAGGGACTAGTGGGTGGATACCGGAAGGAGGGACAGAAGGACAGCACATTGGCTGTTGGAAGGATGGACAGATGCTGGGATGGCTGACGGAAGGATAATTGATAGAGTGGCTTAGAAAGCTGAGAGCACACAAGACAAAAAACTGGAATTTAGTAGCCTCTTCTGGGTGGAAAAGGACAAGTCACGCAGCAGTAGCTAAGACGGGCACAGAAGCTGACAAATGGGAATAAAGAATATAGACAATCTCTCTGTCAAATCTGGCTGAAGAGAGGAAGAGAAAGAAAGATTTCTGTGTGTATTTGTGTTCTAATACTTTACTGAGGTGTAATTTACATATCATAAACTTCACAGACCTTCAGTATCCAGTTTATGACTCTTAAAACAAAGGAATGGTTGA